CACTTTAAGCTTTATCAGAATTAAACGTGAGATCTTTTCTGTGAACCTCGCAGTGATTTCCATGTGAGGGGCATATACACACATAGCTCCTGCCCTCCAAGTGGAGGGCCAGAAAAGGGGGACAGCCGGGCGCGGTGGCTCAAGCCTGTAATCCCAGCACTTTGGGAGGCTGAGGCGGGTGGATCACGAGGTCAAGGGATCGAGACCATCCTGGTCAACATGGTGAAACCCCGTCTCTACTAGTGGTGCAAAAAATGAGCTGGGCATGGTGGCACGTGCCTGTAATCCCAGCTACTCCGGAGGCTGAGGCAGGAGAATTGCCTGAACCCAGGAGGCGGAGGTTGCGGTGAGCCAAGATCACGCCATTGCACTCCAGCCTGGGTAACAAGAGCAAAACTCCGTCTCAAAAAAAAAAAAAAAGAAAAGGGGACAACCAAATGAGATGGGTGGCTGCTCTGTACCCACTTCGGTTTCCCTGTCATCCTCAGCTGCGCTGAAATGGACATAGCACACTAGGCCCCACAGGTAGACTCCTTCCATCCTTTCCTTCGGGGAAATGCCTAGCCCTGGGCAGAATGTAGTTCTGTCTTACCTGTTGCCAGGTGAGAAGATGAAGAGGTCTCATGATTCACCCACGTCCTCACACAGTTAGCAAGGGTCAGAAGGTCAGATGGGGGCTGGGTGTGGTGGCTCACACCTGCAATTCCAGCACCTTGGGAGGCCAAGGTGGGCAGATCACTTGAAGTCAGGAGCTCGAGACCAGCCAGGCCAACATGGTGAAACCCTGTCTCTACTAAAAATACAAATATTAGCTGGACATGGTGGCGGGTACCTGTAGTCCCAGGTACTCAGGAGCCTGAGGCAGGAGAATCACTGGAACCCAGGAGACAGAGGTTGCAGTGAGCTGAGATTACACCACTGCACCCCAGACTGGGCAACAGAGCAAGACTCTGTCTCAAAAAAAAAAAAAAAAAAAAAGGTCAGATGGAGATTTTCTTTTTTTTTTTCCTTTTTTTGAGACAGAGTTTCACTCTTGTTGCCCAGGCTGGAGTGCAATGGCGCGATCTTGGCTCCCTGCAATCTCTGCCTCCCAGGTTCAAGCGACTCTCCTGCCTAAGCCTCTCGAGTAGCTGGGATTACAGGTGTGTGCCACCACACCCAGCTAATTGTTTTGTATTTTTTGTACAAATGGGGTTTCACCATGTTAGCCAGACTGGTCTCAAACTCCTGACCTCAGGTGATCTGCCTGCCTCAGCCTCCCAAAGTGCTGGGATTACAGGCATGAGCCACTGTGCCCCGCCCAGGTGGGGATTTGCTAACTCCCCTGGTGGGAAGGTCATGGGGGCAGCCTGGACCACACTGGCCCACTGGTTCTGACTGGGGCACATGTTCTTGAGCTAGTGCCTCTCTTAACCACCTGACTTCGGAATGGATTGAGAAAGAGTCAGCAGGGGTCCAAATGATTACTTTTTACTGATAGAGGCTGGCTGCAGTCAGGACAAATACACTTGCCCACTGAACTACAGAATGAGGGACCTCAATCCCCGGTTGCAGGCAAGCTGCAGAGGCCCGCCCTTCAAGGCAGCAGAGACTGCTGGCAAGAGGGTGAGGCAGAGACACATGCTGTCTGTGGGTGGGCATCCCCAGGCCTTCTCCCCTACTTTAGTAATACACTGAAGTCCCTGCCCCTTCCCAGGGGCTGAGTGGGGTCAGGGTAGGCTAGTTGGCCTCCCTTGCTAGGAAGAAAGCACCAGGGTGGAGGAGAAGGGCTTCCCATCAACACAACCCGAGCTATGCTGTGGGAAAATGAGTTACTAATGAGTCAGGGAGGGCCACAGTTGTAACCACAGGTGCCACATGGGCAATTCCAACCTCAGAGGCCGTAGAGAGTCACTGGGGGCCCAGGAAGGACACTGGAGGTGGTTTGAGTGATCACCAGGGACAGCTGCCGTGGGGCCTGCCAAATACGACAAGGATCTCAATTTCTTGCTGAAAGTGAGAAACCCAGCAGTCTCGGGACTTTTTTCCAGGCATGCTGGGAAAGAGGAGAGAACAAGGGGTTTCCCTCTAACCCGATAGAGCAATGACATGTATTTATACAGTCTAGAAACAAGGAGATGCCAGGTACATTATCAGGAGGACAAGGTATCACGTAACAAATCAAAATGCAGGTTTCTTCTGAAGAACGTTTTCACAGGACATAGCAACAATTTCTTTTTGGGGGGGGCAGGGACAGTTTCTTTTTGAGACAGAATCTTGCTTTGTCACTGAGGTTGGAGCGCAGTGGTGAGATCTTGGCTCACTGCAACCTCTGCCTCCTGGGTTCAAGCAATCCTCATGCCTTAGCCTCCCAAGTAGCTGGGATTACCAGTGTGCACCACCATGCCCAGCTAATTTTTGTATTTTCAGTAGAGATGAGGTTTCACCATGTTGGCCAGGCTGGTCTTGAACTCCTGACTTCAAGTGATCTGCCTACCTTGGCCTCCCAAACTGCTGGGATTATAGGTGTGAGCCACTGTGCCCTGCAGGACTTAGCAACAATTTCTAAAGGAGTCTTTTTTTTTTTTTTTTTTTTGAGAGGAGTCTGCTCTGTTGCCCAGGCTGCAGGATCTCAGCTTACTGCAACCTCTGCCCCCAGGTTCAAGCAATTCTGGTGCCTCAGCCTCCTGAGTAGCTGGGACTACAGGCATGCCCCCACAAACACCTGGCTAACTTTTTTTTTTTTTTTTTTTTTTTAGTAGACAGGGTTTCACCATAGTTGGCCAGGCTGGTCTTATCATCTAGCCTCAAGTGCTGGGATTATAGGCGTGAGCCACCATGCCCAGCCTAAAGGAGTCTAAGATTCTCGTTCTCATTATACTTCCAGGGATAGGGTAGGCCTATTCCAGAATAATTGGCTATAGTCATGAACACCCTCCCAATTGTCTCTGTTGCACGGAACAAGATGGATATTCCTGGTTTTGTTCTCAATTTAGCCCTTATTAATTCAGAGTAGTTGAACAAGTTTTACATGCAAAGAAAGCTCCCTCGTTGTAGTTACAGAGAAGGGGATATATGCTCCTCACCTATCTAAACTCTTTTGTTAATTAAGACTTTGCATTTTTTTTTTTTTTTTTACTTTTTTTTTTTTTTAGGACGGGGTTTCACCATGTTGGTCAGGCTGGTCTTGAACTCCCAACCTCAGGTGATTCGCCTGCCTTGGCCTCCAAAGTGCTTGGATTACAGGCGTGAGCCACCACGCCCAGCCAAGACTTTGCATTTTTAAGGCCTGCTTCTGGAATTTCGTTAGTTAGCATTTTTTTTTTTTTTTTTTTTTTTTTTTTTTTTTTGAGACGGAGTTTCACTCCTGTTACCCAGGCTGGAGTGCAATGGCGCGATCTCGGCTCACCGCAACCTCCGCCTCCTGGGTTCAGGCAATTCTCCTGCCTCAGCCTCCTGAGTAGCTGGGATTACAGGCACGCGCCACCATGCCCAGCTAATTTTTTGTATTTTTAGTAGAGACGGGGTTTCACCATGTTGACCAGGTTGGTCTCGATCTCTCAACCTCGTGATCCACCCGCCTCGGCCTCCCAAAGTGCTGGGATTACAGGCTTGAGCCACCGCGCCCGGCTAAAGCTTTTTCTAATAGTAATAACTGGACAGCTCAAATACAAAATTAACTCCATTTTCTGCCAAAGACCACGATTTGCTCTTTGAATGTTACCTATTATTTCACTTAACTCTTGTAATCTGTTAATGTGTCTAAAATAAGTCAAATACCTTTAACAGCACTCATGGGATTACCATCATTGTATCTTTGAGTAATCAGAGGTCAAATTCAAAATGCTTCAAGACATTCCATCTTAGACACCTCCGGAAACAAAAACAGCCCAGTATGTCATCTTTGAAGTGATCCAACAAATCAAATGCCTCGCTCTACGCACCGTGGAGGTTCTGTCTACGAGCAATGAAATCCAACTGTTTGCCAATTCTTGGGCCCCTCTTGCCCAGGTCTAAGAGTGGTTCTGGTTTCCATTACTGCTAAAATGCCATCCTTACTTCCCAGTTCGCCAAAGGAGCAAGTCCCAGACCTCAGCCTGCTGCAACTTGGCAACATTCCTTCAAACGTGGCTTGACAAACCAAGAACACATTCTGGTATCTCAGGAAACGAGACGCAGTACCTCTCGGCCTAGGGAAGGGTCACAGAGGGCCCTGTAACGCAGCAGCATGTGAAACGCTGCGGGCTGGTGCCGCAGGCAGGTGGCACAAGCAGGCCTTCTCTCGCATGGAGCAAAATCCGCAAACCTTTGGGAGAACGCTGGCCACCCTGTCGTCCCCAAAGTACAGGTGAAGGCCCGCTGTGGCTGGGGCGAAGGACTCCAGCTGGGCATGATAGGAGCCCACAGGCAAAGCCAGGCCGGCTTCAGAGTCCGCGCCCCTGACCCCACGGAAAGGTGCCTCTCACGTACTGGAGGCTCCAGGGGTGGGGCGGGCATTTCGGGTCTAGGGCACGGGGTGTCAGAGGCCCCGGGCGGGAACCGAGGGAAGCAGTGGTGGCTGGTTACAGGGGCAGCGGAGAGGCCAGGGAGGCGAAGCCACAGGCCACGTGGGCCTTGGAGGAGCAAGGCCCTGAGACCTTGAGACCCCGCTGGACAGGCACACCGCTTCCTGTGTGAGGTGGCGCGGGAGAGCGGGTGGGGGACTTCGGGTGGGAGACTGGAGGCGCCCTCGAGCCCCTCAGCTAACAGGGGACCTTCAGCCTGCTACCTCGACCCTGCCGAGCCTGGTGGAACACTCAGAAAGAAGCTGAGCGCCGCGGGGGGCCAGGACAGAGCCCAGGCCCGCCGCTGGCCCCAAAGTTCTGGGGGTTCCCCCCGCGCAGAACCCGTGCAGGAGCACGCGGCGACCGGAAAAGCGAAAGCCTGGCGGAAGACGACCGCGAGACCCAGCTTCCGGCGCCGCGCCTGCGCCTGCGCCTGTGCCTGCGCCGGGACTGGCCGAGCCGCCGCGGGGCGGGGCCGCGCAGGCGCCAAGGACGCGGAGCCGCGCGGCGCCGGCGACTGTGAGTGCGCTGCGGTCCCTGGCCGGAGCCTGGTCCGAGCGATCGTGCTGCAGGCCGGGCCCTCGCCGCTTCCGGGCGCCTCCCGCTCGCCGAGACAGAGTCCGCGCCGGCGTGGTCTGCTGCGTTCCGAGCACCAGGGGTCGGCGCGGCCGCTCTCGGCTTTTGGGACGAGACGGAGGAGCTGGGTGTCGGCCTCTCGGGACGATCCCCCGCTGACCTCCGGCAGCGCCGGGGCGAGGGAGGGCGCGCGGAGGCTTGCGGGGACCACCAGCGCTCCCGGAGCCGCTCCGCGGTCCCTGCGCACAGGCGCCGCCCCCAGGAGCGTTGGCGGGGACCTAGGACGCCCCGGTGTGCAGAAGAGAAGCGGGATCAGGTTCACGCAGACCCACGGTCGGAGGCGGAGTCTCGCTCTGTCGCCCAGGCTGGCGTGCAGTGGCGCGATCTCGGCTCACTGCAACCTTCGCCTCCCCGGTTCAAGCGATTCTCCTGCCTCCGCCTCCCGAGTAGTTGGGATTACAGGCGCCCGCCACCATGCGCGGCTAACTTTTGTACTTTATTAGTAGAGACGTGTTTTGCCATGTTGGCCAGGCTGGTCTCTTAACTCCTGACCTCACGTGATCCTCCCGCCCCTCCGTCACAAAGTGCTGGGATTACAGGCGTGAGCCACCATCCCTGGCCAGCCGGATCGTAAAGTCATTGGTAGCCCACGTTTCCTGGAGTGGCATCTGGGGTCACCCAGCGGCAAAGCCCATACCGCTTGATTCGCCTTTACACACCAGGCCCAGTTCAGGCGCGGGGAGGTCACAGCCAGGAGCCCGGGGCCAGCTGATGATGTCGTACTTGATTCCATAGTCAAGGAGCTGGGTAATCGGCAATATCGTAACTTTTGGTGAACCCATCAGATGGCAGCCATTTAGCCAGAAATGTAAGGAAAGAGGCCTCCAAGATCCAACAGTGAACATGAGAAGGGGGTTCCATACCAGCAGATAAGACAGTTTTGATGAAGTGCTGTATACCATGTGTGGACTAGTGTGAGGGCATAGAGCTTCTGAGAAACAGGAGAGTTTGCACCCACACTGGGCTCTTCTCCACCAGCTTTCACTGGGGGCTGGTGGTGAAGACTGAGGCAGAGCAGGAGACCAGAAGGCTTTGGCCCTGTTGCAGCCTTGGAGGAAGAGATGGCTGCTCCAACTGGATCCTGTCTGGATCTTCTCTAGCAGTATAAAAAACCTTAAACCACTGGAATATGGGTCCCAAATCCTGTCACTGTGACCAGTGAAAACCTGTTTCAGCTGGGGATAGAGAAAAGGGATCCCCCAAGGGGAGGCAGGAAACTGTCTTAGGATTATATCATTAGGGTTTCACAGCCGGGGAAGTGGCAGGATTCCTGAGAAAGCCTGTGACCCAGGGACACCCATCTCTTGATCTTGCAGATGGCATCCCATGCAGAGTGCCGTCCTCTGGGAGTGTTTGAGTGTGAACTCTGTGCCTTGACAGCTCCCTACAGCTACGTGGGGCAGAAGCCCCCCAACACCCAGTCGATGGTGTGAGTATGCGCCCTTTGGGCCAGTGCCAGGGAAGCCTGTGCCCAGTGCTGGTTGGTGGGTGCTGGGCCTAAGTCTGACACCAGCTTGGGTGTGGCTCTTTAGGTCCCACCCTGCCCAGGCTCTGGATACTTCCGCTGTAATCTCTGGAGGCCTGGGCAAAGCTTGGGGTGTGTCTGACTCTTCTAGAACCTTCCTCCACACCAAGCCCAGAGTCCAATACCTGCTCTAGCTGTGGGAAAGCAGCTCAGCAGCCGGGAGGAGCTGTGGTGGCCTCCCCATTTGGGGCTGCACCCTTGCCATGACACTTTCTTAGTGGGAGGCCAGTCGTCCTTGTAGACGTGGACTAGAGCCAGTGGGTCCGGGGGCTTATCTCTTGACCTCCAGCTTGTCCTTCATCAAATGCCACTTTGTTGGAAAGCCGGCGGGTGTGTTACTCACATGGAATGCAGTGGTGGGGCATGGCTTTGTCCTCCTGGCTGTTGTCCCTCTGCTGACTTGGAGCCTGACTGTCATCATGCCACCCTGTGGTGTCATTCTGATGTGTGGCATGAGGCCACCTGGCCTCCGGGGGCTGTGAGGGTGTGTTCTCCTGCGTGGAAGCAGGTGGCTTGGGGTGTAGGGGAGGCCTGGGGTGCTCAGATGGTGGCCTTGTGCCCCACCCTGGGGAATCCGTCAGGGCCTATGGGCTCACGTCGGAGCAGCCCTTCTTTCGGCTGAGAACAAGGGTTTCTCTCTACCACAGCTGTTAGAGAGGTGAGAACAGGTCCAATTTCAATGCCAGTGTGGTCCCCAATTGCTGATCCTTTCTGTCGCTGTCCTGCAGCACGGGTGGGCTAGTCCGCTGCCTCCCTGAGCCCGCGCAGGTGTGCAGGCCCTGCGGAGGGCCAGGCTGCTGCTGCACGGCCATTGCTCGTGGCTGATTTTCTGACAACAGAGATGTGGGCGGTTCTACAGCTGGCGTCTCTCTCCTGCAGCCTCCTGGAGGAGAGCTATGTCATGAAGGATCCCTTCACCTCCGACAAGGGCAGATTCCTGGTGCTCGGCTCGCATTGCAGTTTGTGCAGCAGGCTGGTGTGTGTGGGCCCGGTGGGTAAGCAGCGTGGGCTGGGGCTGCCTGTCTTTGCTGGGGTTATCCTGAAGCTCTCCCTGGGTAGGGTGGCCTGGGAGGGAGGGACCAGCTGGTTCACCTCATTACAGATGGGGCCCCGCAGCTGATGAAGGGGAGAGGCGAGAGGGCAAGCTAGGGTCAGTTAGAGGGTCTCAGCCTGGTGTAGGACTGGCAATAGGTTCTTGGTGGCTCTGCATCCACCCCAGTGACCCCTCAGGGTTCCTCTCCTTCCCACCAGCAGTGCAGATGGTCCTTGTGCTCCCTCTCACCAGGGACAGTGACTTACCTTCTAGATGTTCTTGGAGGGCCCTTCCAGAAGAAGGGACTGTCCTTTCTTGAGCACCTGTGTGCCAGGCCCTGTGCTTGGGACCTGTTTCACTGCTGAGGCTTCATTCAGTCCTGCCCCTAACTTAGTCAGGTAAAGCAGTATTCTATTCCACCCATTTTATATATGAGGGAACTGAGGTTCAGAGGGGCTGGGTGGGCTGGGTTCACCTGGGGAGCTGAAAACCTAAGGATGGATGGAAGTGGAGCCGTGTGGCTTTCACAGCGTGGCCAGTGTACTCGGAGTGATCCTGGAGTCTGAGAAGTCCCCGAGCATCTGCCACAGGGTGCATGCACGCAGGGGGGTGTATCAGCAGCCAGGGGGACCAGGTGAGCCGGGCTGGGAGGAGCCTCTGCAGTGCAGCGTAGGGAGCGTCTCAGGCACATGGAGAAGCTGGTGGTCCAGGAGAAGCTGGGAAAGGAAGACTGGAAAGGTGGGTGGGCCAGGTGGGGAGGTCTTGAATGCAGCACCTTGGCCTTGGGCTGCTCTTCGTGAGTAGTGGTTGCGGGGCGGGAAGTGGGGCGCACAGAGGTATCACAAGTCGGCAGCTTTCTTCGTTTCAACAGCAGGTTGTTAATGAGCGGATCTCCATGGCAAGGAGTCTTTTCTAAGAGCTGCAGGAGGGCAGCCCGATGTTGGCGAGCACACTAAGCTTTAGGAACAGACAGACACCAAAAATGAGAGTGGCCTAAGTAAAGCACATCGTTGCTTACTTACTTTCTCCTATTTAAGAGTCCAGAACTTGTGGTCTTGGCTGGAAGGGCACCCCTGTTGTCTTCAGCAGAGTCCCCATTTGGGTCCCTTGTAGCTGTGGCAGTTCCCAGCATCCTATCTGCATCCCAGCCAGCAGGAAGGGACATGAGAGCACAGTCCAGTCCTTCAAAGGGCATGACCAGGAGGTGGCACACACAGCTGCTGACACCCCTAACCAGCCTGAGTCACATGGCGATGCCCAGTTGCAGAGGGGGCTGGGGAATGTCATTCTTAGCCACGTGCTGTGCACCGTGATGAATCTCGGGAGTTCTAGTGTCTAAGAGAGGAGAGCGTCATGGCCGGACAGTTCTGGCCTGCTGCCTAGACTAGCTGGCTCATCCATGGCCTCTTTGGTCTGCAGGGCTGTCCTTCCTGTCCCCTGCTGCTCCCAGCACCAGTGGCCACTGCTCCTGCTGCGATAACTGGGAGGGGAGGGCTGGGATTTCCGGCTTTTTGGGCACGGGCTGTGCTCCAGCTTTCCATTGTTGTCACGTTACAGGGAGGGAGCAGAGCAGGCTCCCGTCCTTCTGTCCCATCCCAGCTGTTCCCACCAGGGTAGCCCAGACTTGCACTGCTTTTCTCCTGGACACCCTGCCAGGCCCTGAGGCCCGGCTCTCCCTCCTGCTGGTCTAGCTCTGGCTACGTGCCCACATTGCATGCGGGGGCCCCAGCCCAGCCTCCCGAGTGTGGGAAGCGCTGGCCCCTGGGAGAAGCTGCACCGTGTTCCCAAGAAACTCAGCCGCCATCCTTGTCCTCTTCTTTCAGGAGTGCAGTTTATTCTACGCCAAGAGATTCTGCCTCCCTTGTGTCCAGGAGAACATCAGTGCCTTTCCTCAGGAAATTCGGCAAGACTTGGAGAAAAGGAAAGCTCCGTCAAAGAGGCCCCCGAGCCAGCCTGGTTCTCGGACGTGAAGGCAGCTGGGGCCGCGTCATCGGGCAACACCCTGCACAGAGCTCCTGGGCCGGCCTGGCGCCGGGGATGCTGCTGAGCTGGGAGCCGCTGAGCCTCCATTGGGAGCAGCACTGCAGCCCAGAGGAGCTGGAGTCCAGCTTGGAGCAGCCACAGGCCCAGGGCGTTGTGCCGAGAAGGTAGCCCAAAGGCAGGTACCAGCCCGGACGCAGCCAGGAACCCGGCCAGGCATCCCCGCGCGCCCCTTAGCGCCGAGGCCTCAGTGAGTGCCGCTCAGATGCGACTGAGAGGGACGACCCCCTTCGGTGGGGCAGCTCCTAAGAGGCCACTTGCAGGGGCATGTGCAGGAAGACGCCACACCGTGTTGGGGCCAGCGCGCACCGTGGGTGGCTGTAATGGTCTCTCTGTAAGGAAAATCACTGACAGCAGCTGCTTCTGGAGCCAGCCTGTGAGGTCTAGAGGGTGACAAAATTTTTACTTCATATCCTTATGTGACGCTTGGAAAATGCTTTTAACCTTAACCGTGTATTACGTTTATAATGAAAAACCCAGCTAATGTTTGGAAAAGGAATCTTCCCCTGAAACGTCTGGATACTCAGCAATCTCCCTGGGTACTCGGGGTCTCCTGGGAAGGTGAGTGCTGGCTTCCAGCCTCTCCAGTTCCCTCAGGCTCTGGCTGCAGCTTGGGCCCCTCCATTCTGTCTCCCACAATCCCAAGGCAGGAATGCTGTGGGCTTCCTGTCCTCACCTTGCACCTCAAGACCATCACGCTTGCCTGCCTGCTTGCCTCCTGCCATCTCAGACACAGTCCTCGGTGCCTGCAAAGCCCGGCCCCACTGCTTGCCGGGAGTTCCTGTGGCACCCCCTCCTCCAGACTCCCTATCTCCCCGGAGCTTCTAGGGTAGCAGTTGGCGGGACACTGATCTTTGCACTCTGGAATGTCTGCTTAGAGTTCTGAGAGGCAGGAGCTGCTCTGTCCTTAGAACTACTCCAGGCCAACTGTCACGTGACGAAGGGATGAATAAAGTTTTTTTGCTGACTTACGTGTGCACTGATGTATTTTAAGGTGCCCGCCGCTTTCAGAAGTTTCCCGTGGTATGTGACTTCAGCGGAAAGGATGTCATGTTCCGGATCCACGGTGTCCTAGATCCATTCTGTATGCTTAAGGACACAAAAGGGACCGTGCAGATGGAGAGAACCTCCCTGAAGGGCACAGGGGCTGTTCTGGCAGAGGGCAGACCCCACACCTGGGGACTCGGTTCTTTCAGACCAAACCGTCCATCCCGCAGCATCACTCAAAACTCACCAGCACATTTTAAAAAATAGTTTATTTTTTAAAACCATTAAGGCAAGACTGTACCCTGAAATTAACTCTGTACATTCATCAGTCTTACAGTAGGACATCCCAAACACAGAAGTGCCCATATGGTCAGGATAGAAATCAATACATGTGGTCAGTTCAGTCTCCTAATAGGAAAATGAAGACCCAGGATTTTTTAAAAATTAAGGTTATTTTATGGCCATTTTCTAATTGCCTGGAACCAATCAGTTCATGTGACTAGAAAAATTACATTTGTCCTTCTCTGCACACCCTTGATTCCTGAGGTCCTGGATGCCCACTTCCCCCACCAGGAGAGAGGTATGACGTTGGAGAGAAGACGCTGGAGCCCGTGCGGCAGTTCCTGCTTTGGAACTGCACCTGCTCAGCACAAAGAAGAAGCTGTAAGCCCCGAAATACTGAGAGTATAAGGCACTCATGAACAGCAAGGGCATGCGTGGAGAGACAGCCCAGTCCTTGCCTGGGATCTGTACTGTTCTTGCGTGCGTCCGTCCACCCTCTCCTCTGGGATTGTAGCATGATGACATTATGGATCCCAGAGGGCGTGACCAATATGCACCGATAAGTTTCAGCAAGTTACTGGAAACAAGGTATGGGGAGACTCACGGGGTCTGTGGGTTCTGCTTTACGCTTTGGGTTGGGCCACCCGGAGGATGCCAGAGAACAGGCACGTGCAAATAATTTCCATCAGGACATTTCCAATTACCGAAGTTCTTTGGTAATAACCCATAGGTAACAGTTCCCTGAAGAGCAGACAGCTATTTACTAAACAGAAATAGTGAAGGGTCTTTAGCCAAACACTGTCATATGAAATCGGTGGCCTCTAACCTAAGGCCTTGCTGGTGGAGGTGACTAGAGATAGACTCTCTTGTGCTCTGTGCATGCACAGTATGGTAAAGGGAAGAGATTTCCACATTGGAAGTAAATTCTGCATGGCTCAGGTGAAATGAGAAGCTGTGTGTGCGCGTCCCCGCATGCGCAGCGTATCTTAGTTGTTTGATTTTAGTTTCTTTTGTGTTTCCAATAGGTTCAAGAGCCAGGCTTTTTAAGAATATGAGTCAATTGCCGGGCGCGGTGGCTTACGCCTGTAATCCCAGCACTTTGGGAGGCCGAGGCGGGTGGATCACGAGGTCGAGAGATCGAGACCATCCTGGTCAACGTGGTGAAACCCCGTCTCTACTAAAAATACAAAAAATTAGCTGGGCATGGTGGCGCGTGCCTGTAATCCCAGCTACTCAGGAGGCTGAGGCAGGAGAATTGCCTGAACCCAGGAGGCGGAGGTTGCGGTGAGCCGAGATCGCGCCATTGCACTCCAGCCTGGGTAACAAGAGCGACACTCTGTCTCAAAAAAAAAAAAAAAAAAAAAAAAGAATATGAGTCAATTAAGACGGATTTCAAAAGAATCCAAATGTTTGTTATTATATGAATGATTGTAAGTTAGTAAGATATTTGTATTAGGATGCTTTTAAAAAAACTCAAATCACAGTATTTAAGATATAGCTATTAACACAGTTCCTTTTACCACGCAATGTAGAAAAAGTAAAATGATATTTAACATGAACACTGTCATCTTAGCAAAAAGAGCACTACGAGGGATTCATCTCTTGTGAGGTACCTGAAAAAGGAACTGACTGAGCCTTTAAAAAAGTGAAGTTGCCAAAAGTGAGTGATTTTACTGTGAAACGATCGGCCAGTCGCTCCTCTTCGGGGCTGGAAGGCTGACCCCCTCTGACTTGAGGCACAGCCTAGGCCTGGGGGCCGGGGAAGATGCCCGAACATGAACATGTCTCCCGGGACTGCAGCACCCGCCCCCCCCACCACAACGCTTGGGTCACCAGTTTTCCTGGGAGCCAGGGTGCATGGGCCGGGGGCCTGTTTGTGCACCAGCTTGCGTGGCACTTTATCAGTTCATTAAATGAATGGATTTTTGCTGCTGGGTGTGGGCAGAAGAGCGGTAAGAAAAGAGGCAGCAGGTACACATCCTTCTCACATTTGACCCAAACTGCAAACTTAAAAAAAAAAAAAAAAAAGCTGACCCCCACCCAGGTCTTAGTTTGCTATGATGTAAAAATCCATTTTTCTTTTCCTTTTTTTTTTTTTTTTTGTTACAAATAGTCCCTCTGACAGCCACGAGACCACTCAAGTACTTTAGGTCATCAGCTGCTTCCATCAAGACGCAGCATTGAACATGGACACGGTCTGGTCTGTTTTTGTTGGCAAAGGACTCCAGAAGGATGTCGTTGTACGTGTTTCAGCTGAACCACATTCTATAGCTCTTCTCCCTCACAAAAGGGGTTCTCTGGGGGGAGAAAAGTAACTGATCATACCTCTCATGTCTCAAACTGAAATTTTGAGAAGCCAATGGTCGGTTGACAGCTCCATTCCAGATCTGCAGAGATGTCCTCAAATAATCCAGAGCCGGCAAAAGGCGGAGCAGGCAGCAGCCCTGGGCACCAGCCCCTCTTTCTGTTCTCATAAGAAGGCCACACGCATGGCTTTTTGTGATAAGCTTCCAGCCCATGCCACTGAAATAACGTTTAAGAACCTGCTGCATTTCACAGAAATAGCATTATGGAAATCATTATGTAATTAAACAGAGCATGAACCTCATCATATTTTTCTTTTAAACAAAACTCCCAATTTCACATTTTAGTGTGTATTGTGGTTTCCAGAGAAATACATGGATCTCCTATATTCTGAGTCAGATCAAATGTATTGCCTTTATTGCCTTTATTCTTTTTTTTTTTTTTTTTTTTTGAGATGGAGTCTCGCTCTGTCACCCAGGCTAGAGGGCAGTGGCACTATCTTGGCTCACTGCAACCTCTGTCTCCTGGGTTCAAGCGATTCTCCCACCTCAGCCTCCCAAGGAGCTGGGCCTACAGGCATGCGCCACCACACCCAGCTAATTTTTGTATTTTTAGTAGAGATGGGGTTTCACCATTTTGGTCAGGCTGGTCTTGAACTCCTAACCTTGTGATCCGCCCATCTCAGCCTTCCAAGGTGCTGGGATTACAGGTGTGAGCCGCTGTGCCCGGCCTGTACTGCCTTTATTCTCACCCTAGTCTATGGGGTCAGTGACCATTTTCCTGAATGCTGTCAAAATGGCACCTAAAAAAATCCTTGCAAAAACCTAGACTCAACCATTGGGGACCCAATCTTAGATCTTTCTAGGCAGAAGGCCTCTCAGAGGAATGCATGCCCTGGGTGAGGGCCACGGACTCAGAAGCAGGCAGGCCACTGGATGATTCTATGGCATTGAATAATCCCTTGGTGAGATGTGCCTTGGTTGCCCTCGGCACAGTCGAGGGAGGTGAATCAGCATTTCTTTGCCGCAACCCTTCATTGCTCTGCAAAGCTGAGTGGCCCTTCCAGCCTTTCTCCCGCAGGTATTCGTGGACACTTCATCCCAGACTGGGATGTCTGAAGGTGGGCTTCAATGACAGCTGCCATCATCGCTACCATCAGAGAGATACACACAGCCCCCTTTGCTCGATGTAAAGATGTGGTTGGTAAGAAATTTCAGTGTGGCTGAACAAGTCAGCGTGGACCGAGTTAAGAGCAGCTGGGTCACTTTTAACACGAGAAGAGCGGATACTTCCCCATGCTTGGCAATGCCAGTGCGTAAAAATGGGAAGTGTTGACACAAACTTCCTGTGGGCGAGAGGTTCCCCTGGACACTTTTTAATACTCATGAGCCCTCAGGTGGTGGCATCAGTCTTCATGGGTGACTTCTATGGACAACATAATTTCCTCGCCTCTCCTGAATCTACAGCTGTGTCTGAATGTGAAAGAATGTCTAGAAAGAAATCCCTCAGGAACCCTGTATCAGGCCAACCATGTTAACTGCAGAGGACAGGGCTGGCCATGGGATGGGAGCTGAGGGCAAGGCTGCAGGCCCCTGGGTCATCCTGTCCTTGCACTCACCAGGTGTAAGTGTCTGGAAACAACAGGGAGGTGGCAGGAGGTGGAGAAAGTGCACCGTGCCTGGGGCCCAGCGGCCAGCAGTGCCAGGCAGGCCCGACATCTGGAGGCTGATTTGTTGTTACAGCTTCAAACAGCTGAGGAGCAGACGAGACCACAAGAACCTGCTTTGAAAGCTGCCCAGAGCCATGGCATCCATGGGGCATGAGCTGTGGGCACCTGGCACATTCTCCTGTTGGCATCTGCGTTTTGAAAGGCCACACTGTTGATGAGGTACCAGCTGGTGAAGGTGGCCAGCTCTCCCCAGGCCCCAGGAAGCCCCCCACCAAAGGCCAGGCTGGCAGTCAAGCCAGTCTTAGCCGGGTGCACTGGGCTTGCTGGGTTGAAACAATGAATCCATTTTCAAACTGGAGTTCATGGAGACATTCTGAAGACAGGTGTGGCCACTGGATCAGAACCAAAAAACCTTCCGTCATGTATGTGGCTGGTAAGTATCAAATGTGCCTGGACTCATAGTGGTTTGAAAACGCGAGTTTCAGGGGGGAAGTGCTTGGAATCAAACACAGAGAGGCACAGGTGCAAGCTCGGAGGAGTCAGATCTGCGGACGTCACGGTTTCATCCAGGCTTGCTTTGATGCATGTTTCCATACACGTCTGGTAGGGGCTCTCTGAGGAAGCGGCATCTTCATGGCCAGCAGGAAGAGGTGAAGAGGAGAGGGCGTGCCGGGGGCGGGGGTGGTCACTGCAGGCCGGGACCATCGGCCGCTTCTCCTAAGCCCAGGTCATGCCCAGTGTCAGTTTCATCAAACTGGGGCAGCACCTTTTGCAGGTGAGCATCTTCAAGGCTCCCTTTCAACAACCAAAGTTCCTTCCGGATGTCATATGAGCTGCCGCTCTGCTGCATCAGCAGGCTCAGGCGTGCGCACCCGAGCAGTCTGTGTCCCACCTGCCCTAACTACAGAGGCCGCAGTGTGGGTGGGTGCCTCAGCCCAGCATGGCCTTTCGCAGGACCCGCTGAGGTATTTGTTACATTGTCCATTGCGGGGAAGTGGTTGCAAAGCTGTTGACTTTTCAGGGTTTGGCATATCTTTCACTGTGCCTTGAGCCCCTGCTCAGCCCTGGGAGGCTGCCCTGTCCCTGGAACCTCCAGACGATGAATGCTCCAGGCAGGTTGTTTCCCTTGGGGCCTTAAATGGCCCAGTGTAAGAAATGAGTCAGCGCAGCAGAAAGGTACCTTCTCTGCTCTTAAAATGCAAAACAAAACACAACTCTTTAAAACAGGGACAGCTCTCCTGGGCATCGTTGAATGCTGAGTTCTGGGTTTCTTTCTGCCCCACTTCACGTTCGTAATGTTCATATAGCAAACACACCCTTTAGGAAGATGCTTTATACTCTCCTCCTCAGAGCGGGAGGAAAGGTCAAGATGCAACTGGCAAGCACGGTGGGAAGAAAGGCACCAGCAGCCGCCAGCCTGTGCTGCCCGCCCTGCTCCCACCGCTGTCACTGGAAGCATCTTGTTTTGACAATTCATCCAAATCAGGCTTAGCCCTGCGCAGTCCCCTGGCCTCTGGAAGTGTGATGGGGACAGAATCCAGCACGTGGGACACTCAACTGGAAGTGCCAGGAGGTGGAAGAGAAGGGATGTGCTGCCAGTCTCCCTTGGACAGTGGAGAGGCCTTTGTCTGCTCCCGAGCCACTGCCGGCTGGCACACGAGAGGCACGTCTGGGAGGAGCCCCTCGCTATCCCTTCACTCTGGTCAGCACGATAGACCAAGGCTGGCTGGTCTCTGAGGACTTTGGCACTTTTTGCTATTGAAAGTTGAGAAAATGAAGAACCATGTTTAAACAATGACTTGTTGAAGAGTGGGTAAAGCTGGCGACTTCCTGCATTGGCTGCCAGGGGGAATGGGTGCCACACATGCGCTCTGACACTCCTGGAATCTATCCTGACATCTCTTTTGTACTTTTGGCTGATGTCTGTTGAAACCCAGCAAGCAAGAAACACACTCCGTTAATAGTTCCCATTTGAACTGGTGCGTGATCAGCCTGTAATTCAGTATTCATGCCCTGAGAAATCTATGATTAGATGACCCAAAATATTCTAGCACTGAGTGGCGATTAGTGGTTTTGTTGCTTAAAGAAATAGGAATGTGTGATTTGCTTTCCTGTCAACACAACAGACCAATGTCGAGTGACTTTCAGCCTGAGGTCACTGGTCTCCATTCCAGCTTCATCAGAGATGTCCCTGGTAGTCTTGCTGGCCTTAAGAAAACCAGATGCTCACCATTGCTGCTGAGCGCCCCATGAGCTAAAGTAGAACCTGGCAGTCAGCTTGCTGTTACTGCTGAAAGTTTGAGACAGGGAGGTATTTTAAACAAGTTTTATGAACGTTTAAGCAGAACAATGATTTATCTGAAAACCTCGAGGCTCACGCTCCTGGGCCATGTCACCTTTAGTGGCATAGGGCACATTAGAGCGAGCGGTTGCAGGGTCGTTGGAGACAACGCAGGCTTGGCATTGGGCTCCAGCCCCTGGGTCTCATCAGCATGCAGGCTTCTCATTTTAGGAAAGAATATTGAAATGGATGCACCTTGCCTCTCAAAGGCTAGCTTCTTTCTGAATTCGGATGGCCACTTCACTGGTGGCATATATGCAAACACTCTTATTTGCTTCTGATTCCTAAAACACTTGGACAGACTGCCTGCTGCCGCTGCTGTTGCTGGCCAACAGGCCCTTTGATTACATCTTTCTTTTTTGCCAGGGATAGGGGTGGAATCTCACTCTGTCACCCAGGCTGGAATGCAATGGTGAGATCACAGCTCACTGCAGCCTCAACCTCCTGGGCTCAAGCAATCCTCCCACCTCAGCCTGCAGAGTAGTTGGGATTATAGGTGTATGCCAGCACCATCAGCTAACTTTTAAATGTTGCATGCAGATGAGGTCTTGCTACATTACCCAGACTGGTCTCCAACTCCTGGGCTCAAGTGATCCTCCTGCTTTGGCCTCCCAAAGTGCTGGGATTCCGTGTGTGAACCACTGCGCCTGGCCTGATTGCAAAAACCAAAACAGGACTAAATGTGTGATTTTTTAAAAAAGGGTGTCCTAATCCCAGCTTTCACTCATTTCTGGTGGAAGTCTCACACTGGGTACTTCCCGCTCTTGCATTTTCATAGTGCTGGTCACGGGACCCTTATCATCCTAATCATTCTTAAGATAACAATGACCTCAGAAAAGCCCGATTTTCTAAAGGAGGGACGCAGCACGGACGATACGTCCAGGTGCCCAGCTACTCCCTGGAGGCGGTAGTCCTGGCAGGCTCAGTCCAGATCTGAAAATTCTCAGTGGGACAATTTATCTACCAGGGGGACACAGACAGAAAGTGCTTCCGGGTCCATGACAAACTGCCATACTGGACAAACTTCCCAACTGGACTGAGGTGGATAAGTTGATTTTGAAGGCTAAAACAAATATTTTAGATGTTGAAAAAACTAGCTTATATACAAAGGAGACTTAATAGCCTAAACCATTGTAAAAAATAACCAACTCTTGTGAAATCTGCCATTGGAAAAAAAAAAACAAAAACTTCCATTTGAAGAAGACCCTACCCCCTCTCTAGATCCACAGGGTGACCAGCTCCCACCCAGCCCAGCTATGAAGTCACGTGTGCCTCGTCTCCGCTCGAGAGAGCATCTACTCTCACCGACAGTTAAAACAATAAAGCATCATATCTTTAAAAGCAACATAACGAAAGACATGGGAGCTGCCAAATAGGGCCCAGAGGAACGTTTACAAGTAAGGCGTCAGTCTGCCTCTAAGAATACCACCATGCCCACAGACAGCCGGACTGGGTGGGTTCAGGTCGACAGGACGGAGCTGAGTGGAGCAGGAAGCTGGTGGGCTTCGGGAGCTTGTCTTGTCCTGCTTACCACAGGCACTAGCTTGCGACAGTCCAGATGGGGGTCTTGAGATTCCATTTTCTGGGCTCTCCTACGCAAACCTGGAAATGGGCTTTCCCACATATTAGTTACAACCACGAAAACAGTGAACCAGAAACAAAGCAACAGCTGCATTTTGATAGCTTATCCGACAGTTCTTTAAAATTCTCCATCCTGTGATTGAAAAGCAGCGTGTCGTCTTTCTTTAGAGTCAGGAAACAGAAGTGAAGTCTTTGAAATAAATATTTTGCTGCTTTTTACATACCTCACCTTTGGCTCCATCTAGACTTATAGGATTATAAACGTTGTTAAAAGTGCTGATTAATTTTCAGAATTACAAAGGAGCACAATGTCAAAACGTGGGCGAATGGGAAGACAGGCCATGGATTCTGAGGATACCGGTTAACTAAACGGTAAATCACGAACGTGATCTAAAGAAATGTGCATCGATTAACATCAGGTGAGTTAAAATCAGACCATTGAGCATCATTCTCCTTAATTTTCCCGGTCCTGAGATTATTAGCCGCCTACCACCAGAATTTGAGCTCTACACTCTCAGAAGTACTGGTTAAAACAAAGACGTGGAATAATATGCCGGTTACCTACAGCTTAGACTGTCCAAGCTCTAAGGCTAAAGTGGTGGATATCTGTGCAAAATCGTGCCGCTCCCTTCTCCTTTGTAGTGCTATCAGCTTCAGAACTCCTGGAAAAGGTGTGGCTGATCTGAGGGACCTCAGTACATGTCCCTGTAAATCTCCTGCAGCAGCGGGTGCAGGGCGGCGTCCGACTCCGTCTTCTTGATGATCTGCACCAGCTGTGCATGCTCCGTGACCAGCTGCCGGAGGTCCGCCATTTTTTGAAGAAGTTTCGGGAAGAGAAAGCTATCGTCCGGGTGGTTGCTCTGCAGGTGGAGTCTGAGCACATGCACGATACCCTCCTGCATTTTTTCAATGTGTCCTACGTTTAGAAGGCCAGGGCGATCTAGTCTCGAGAGAAGAGAGAGGCGTTTGAGTGTGATAATCGCCTAGGAATTGCTTATCAGTTTCAGGAACCAAGCGTGCCTATTCTATGCGGCCTTTCTTAGAAAACACTGAGCTGCCTTTAGATATCATCAGCTTGACTGGAAGATAGACTTGGGTTTTGACAAAAGTCAGTAGGTAAAGTAGGGACAGACAGGACCCGTACTCTTTCCTAAACATTCATACTACTAGGCTGCAATACTGCCCTCAGTCCATCTTATGGGGTGGCCCTTTCACTTGGGATTTACCACCTGTCCTGGAAAAAAATTGGAGACATCAGGAGGAATAGTACATTCTGGAGATGATAACGACCACCAATTTTGCATAATATGGGAAATGAAATTCCTTTTCTTGAGTCGAAACTGGATATTCAGCTTCAAGTGTTCCACCATATTTAAGGAATGTGATTGTGTTAGAACTAAGTTATGTGGGCTGGGCGCCGTGGCTCACACCTGTATTCACAGCACTCTGGGAGGCCGAGGCGGGCGGATTGCCTGACATCAGGAGTTTGTGACCAGCCTGCCCAACGTGGTAAAACCCTGTCACTATTAAAAATACAAAAATTAGCCAGGCACTAATCCTAGCTATGCCTGTAATCCTAGCTATTCGGGAGGCTGAGGCAGGAGAATTGCTTGAACCCAGGAGATGGAGGTTGCAGTGAGCCAAGATTGCACCACTGTACTCCAGCCTGGGTGACAGAGTGAGACTTCGTCTCAAAAAAAAAAAAGAAAGAAAAAAAGAACTAGGTTTTGTGTTACAGACCCTTCTAACATAAGTCAGGTGAAAAGAAAGTAGAGTAAGAAATGAAGTGGGGTCAGGATTGGGGGCATACTGGCTGCAAAGGATGCTTAGGAGACCCTGGAGTGGGGAGGAGAGTGGGGCAGGTCTGAGTCTTGGTGCAGGAAGTGCCAGTGTTCACACCAGCTGACCTCCCTTGGGTAGCTGGTACTAACTAGACTTCCTGGGACAGTCTCAGAGCATGGGACCTGACTCTTGGTCCAGAAAATACTGCCCTGAGCCATGTCCAGCAGGTAGTGCCCCCTTGGCAGACCCACTCATTGCTATGATTCTTACAGTGTTGCTAGTGATGAGGATTTTAAAATCTTCATTGTTTTTGGTTGCAAATATAATTCTTAAGTTATTTTTAAAACTCTTGTTTTCATATTGTTTTAGTGATGGGGTCTTGCTATGTTACTCAGGCTGGACTGGAACTCCTGGGCTCAAGCAATACTCCTGTCTCAGCCTCTAGAGTGGCTGGGGCTGTGAATATGAAGTCTCTAAAGAGTAATTATTGCCAGGCACAGTGGCTCATGCTTGTAATCCCAGCACCTTGGGAGGCCAAGGTGGGTGGATCACCCTAAGGTCAGGAGTTCAAGACCAGCCTGGTCAACATAGTGAAACCCTGTCTCTACTAAAAATATAAAAATTAGCTGGTGTGGTGGCACACGCCCATAATCCCAGTTATTCAGGAGGCTGAGACAGGCGAATCACTAGAAGCCAGGAGGTGGAGGATGCAGTGAGCCAAGATCGTGCCACTGCACTCCAGCCTGGGTGACACAGCGAGACTCTGTCTCAAAAAAAAAAAAAAAAAAAAAAAAAAAGGAATTTTTTGAGAAATAGAAAGAAATCCCCCCTCATAATTTTAATCCCACCATTAATAGGCTTAACATAGATCTCACTGGACATTTTTCTATACACATAGGATTGACACAGGATTACAATTTCTTTTATAAAACTTTGATCATGCTACATATACAGAGTTCTGCAATTGCATTTACCCACAATGCTACATCTTGACCATTGGGGGCATACTGGCTGGAAAGGACAAATCATGTGTAACTGCTTTGTCCTTGTACACTTTATGCCAGATCGCAAGGACTTCCTCCATCTGACTTGTGCCCAGCCAGACAGTAACAGGCGAGGCTGGTAGGGCTGAGTCAGCTTCATGCTGAGAGTGAGTCAATCCCTGGGGCGCAGTATGGCTGCGAGCAGTGTGGGAGACGGTCACCCCATCCGTCTCCGCCAAGGCCGGGTAAGGTCAGCCGAGCTTACAGTAGGTGGATGACCTTCCTAGATCTGAGATGGGGCTATTTAAAGCAACATGACACTGAGCGAAAAATGCAGCGGCTGCAGAGCTGGCTTCCACAGAGAGGACCAGGTCAGCCTTCCCCCAGATCTGCTTCCTTGGGCAAAGCAAACCTTGTACTCACTGCCTCTCGGCTACTGACGGGTGTTATACTTGGCATTGGGAAATATATTTTGCATCATCATAACCGATTGTGACAGCAACCATACTGACATGTGTATGGCACTTCATACAACACTATCTATAATACGAACACAGCCACCTCGTTAGATCATATCTACAGGAATATCACCATGTATAAGTTATATCTGTTTATCATATTAGACATAATTATAATATAAACGTGTGTGTGTGTGTGTGTGTGTGTGTGTGTGTGTGTCTGTGTGCCTGTCTGTATTTTTTTTTTTTCTGAGACAGGGTCTTTCTTTGTCACCCAGGCTGGAGTGTGGTGTTGTGACCTTGGCTCACTGCAACCTTTGTCTCTCAGGCTCAAGTGATCCTCCCACCTCGGCCTCCTAAGTAGCTGGGACTGCAGGCACATGCCACCATTCTTGGCTAATTTTGTGTACTTTTTTGTAGAGATGGGGTCTTGCCATGTTGCCCAGGCTGGTCTCAAACTCCTGGGCTCCAGCCATCTACCCATCTCGGCTCCCAAAGTGCTGGAATTACAGGCCCATGTCCGACCTCTTTCTCTATATATATTGGTGCAAAATATATAATTTTTTTTTAAAGAAGCAGGGCGTTGTTCTGTTGCCCAGGCTAGAGTGCAGTGGTACATTCATAGCTCATTGCAACCTTGAACTCCTGGGCTCAAAGGATCCTTTTGCCTCAGTCTACCAAGTAGCTGGGACTATAGGCACATATCACCACACCTGGCTAATATTATAATTAAAATGTCATACATTTACATAATATGTAAATATGTATTTAGATATAATAACAATATAGGCCAGGCTCAGTGGCTCATGCCTGTAATCCCAGCACTTTGGGAGGCTGAGGCGGGTGGATCATGAGGTCGGGAGATTGAGACCATCCTGGCCATGGTGAAACCCTGTCTCTACTAAAATATGAAAAATTAGCCAGGCACGGTAGCACGTGCCTGTAGTCCCAGCTACTCAGGAGGCTAAGGCAGGGGAATCACTTAAAATCTGGGAGGCAGAGGTTGCAGTGAGCCGAGATCGTGCCACTGTACTCCAGCCTGGTGAAAGAGCAAGACTCCGTCTCCAAAAAAAAAAAAAAAAAAAAAAAAAATACATATATATATATATATATATATATGTATGTATATATAATATACACATACACTATATAATGTACTATAATGTTATACAATATTATATATACAATAATATACTATATTATATAATATTGCTGTAATTCCCACTGAATTCTACTCAGTGGTGACTGGGGGGTCAGACGTCTTCCCACCCTGTGAGTGTCCCCTCCACTGGAACAGCTTAAGCTGCTACTGGATTTCCCATTGGAGCCTGTAAGTGACATGATGCCAGCAGATTAAATCAACCACTCACCTCCACAGCAAATGATAGCAGCCACGAAGAGGGAGATGTCGCTGTCATCCAGTTCCAGTGCATTGAACTTCATGGCAAAATCAAACTTGGGCTCCATGATATCACAGAACGGTTTCCTCAGGCTTTTCAGGAATTCACGAGTTATAAACCCATTTCCATATGCTACCAGCATGCCGTCTTTGTTCATCACAGAAGACAGCATTGCAAATATGGCCTCGTAAACGCCATATTTTAGCAGCGTCACTTGATCGTTCAGGTCCAAGTTTGCGAAGCCTGGGATGGCCTTGGCGAATTCCGTGAGCTCCGTGACGGTCTCCACCGACGTGCACTGGCAGCAGTGGAAGATGCGGACCTCTGCCTCCTTGTTCTGGATGCCATTGGCCACCAGCTTGGCCACCAGTGTCTTCTCAGCCATACACAGGGTCTCCATATCATGTATGACAAAAGGCTACAAAGAAGGACACCAAGGTAAGTCAGGTGATGTGGGATGAGACGCACGCCCGACCATCAGTCACCAAGGAGCGGCTCCTGTGTCCAAATCACCACGCTCGGTGCCTTGCAGGACTCAAGATATCCACGGAACACAGTTCTTACTCAAATTCAAAACCAGTTGGGGAAAATAAGACATTGACAGAGAACAAACAGTATATACATCAGTAAAATCATCGTCATCATCGCCTGACATTGGGTGGATTTTGTTGCTAAGAAACTGAAGTACTGGGCCAGGCGTGGCGGCTCACACCTGTAATCCCAGCACTTTGGGAGGCTGAGGTGGGTGGATTACCTGAGGTCAGGAGTTTGAGACCAGCCTGGCCAACATGGTGAAACCCCATCTCTACTAAAAATACAACAAAAAATTAGCCAGGCATGGTGTGTGCCTGTAGTCCCAGCTACTCGGGGGGCTGAGGAGAGAGAATCGATTGAACTCGAGAGGCGGAGGTTGCAGTGAGCTGGATCATGCCACTGCACTCCAGCCTGGGTGACAGAGCAAGCCTCCTTCTCAAAAAAGAAACTGAAGTACTGATTTTGGCAACAAAACTAACAAGAGGATATTAGGGAAGCACCTTTAATATTCTTAAATATTCTCTGAACTCCTAATGACTATTGCAAGAGGCTTAATTACAATAATTCTTAATTTTACCAGCATATGAGCTTTAGAGGTAAACACCATCATTGAATACTCCTGAATGAATAAATTTGGCATGTAAATACGCACAACTCAGAAAGTTGGCATCTGTGTAGAAACCAGCAAACAAGCATGTTACACTCTTTAGGGATAAAGAGGAAGAGCCTCGGAAAGCTCTTGTTTCTCTCTGGGCAGGTCAGTGAACCTACACTCAGTGCTCCACATTCTGGAGCAAGTGCCAACTCCCTGCAGCCATGCCCTTTGTGCTGCCATGCCACCTGCATCTGAACCCAGGGGCCTGCCATTTCCTGGGTTCAGATGATCTTGTGGAGGAAGAGGTGGTTGGCCATATTATTTGAAGCCAACATGCTCAGAAGGGTTTACATGTGTGGTCGGGCTGAGGAGAATGAGCACACGCAGTGCTGGTGGCTGAAATTTACATCTGTGGGCAGAGTGGGAAAGTGACCGCATCCGAGAGCTCTCTCTGACTATAATGTGGTCTACGGCTCCTGCAAATATGGGTCAATAATGCAGTGGGTTAAGGCATTATTTCTTTTTCCTTTTTTTTTTTTTTTTTTGAGATGGAGTTTTGCTCTTGTTGCCAAGGCTGGAGTGCAATGGCACGATCTCGGCTCACTGCAACCTCGGCCTCCCGGTTTCAGGCAATTCTTCTGCCTCAGCCTCCTGAGTAGCTGGAATTACAGGCATGCACCACAGAACCCAGCTAATTTTGTATTTTTAGTAGAGAAGGGGTTTCGCCATGTTGGTCAGGCTGGTGTCAAACTTCTGACCTCAGGTGATCCACCTGCCTCAGCCTCCCAAAGTGCTGGGATTACAGGGATGAGCCACTGCGCCTGGCCTAAAGTGTTATTTCTAATTGCTGCTGGAACATTGGAACCCAGAGTGCAGGAGAATCCCAGGGATTTAAAGAATGTCCCCTGCCAGTGGGCAAAGCTCAGCCACTGACTTCTGACCCACAGCATGAAGCGTTCCGTTTCTGGGCTCACAGCGCACAACTGTCTTCAGGGCACCAGTGGATGTGCCGATAACAATCACACAGATTGTCTGGAATGTTTCAACAGAACCAGGACTTGCAACATAGTGCTGGACAAGAAAACCCCAATTCTGCATCCGAGAAAAGGGGATATTTTAAAAATTACTCATGAATGACTGAAAACATTCTGAATAGAACATTCAGAGTCAAGTTTCTATATAATCTCAAGTCTGATTAATGAAGATTGAAAATGGCCTCTCCAAAGACCTTAAGAACAGTCCAGAAGACCAGAGTTTGTTAAAGTGTGGAGTTAATTCTGCTTCACAGGAGGTTGAAGCTCAGATTTAAGGAATTAACATTTCTAGGAGGGACTAGATAAATATTTTTAAAGGATCGATGGCAGGATTCCCTCAATTCCAGAAAATAGACTGTTAGGCCACCATCACTTTATTTAAATCACTAGATCTTTCTGAAGTACATTGAGCAGAAATAAAGCTGCTAAATAAGTTTTAAAAAAATCAGTTCTGTGGTTTAAAAAAGTTAAGAAACACTGAGTTAAATTAAATTGGGCATCCCTCAGCCCCCGAGTCTTTACATGACAAATGTGCACTCTTCCAGAATGAGAATGAGGCTAGAATAAGCAGAGGTCCCTACAGTGTTTGATTACAGCATGCTTGGTGTTATTTTATTTTATTTTTTTGGTAGAGGATCTCCTAGGACGAATGCAGGCCTGGCTACATAATTTAAGGGATCCAGAGCAAAAATGCGAGCATGGGACCCCCCCGCCCGCCTTTATTTTCCTCTTTTGAGGCAGAGTTTTGCTCTGTTGCCCAGGCTGGAGTGCAGTGGTGTGATCTCAGCTCACTGAAACCTCCGCTTCCCAGGTTCAAGCGATTCTCCTGCCTCAGCCTCCCACGTAGCTGGGATTACAGGTGCCTGCTACCAATCCGAGTTAATTTTTGTATTTTTAGTAGAGATGGGGTTTCACCATATTGGGCTGGTCTTGAACTCCTGACCTCAGGTAACTCACCAGCCTCGGCTGCCCAAAGTGCTGGGATTATAGGCGTAAGCCACTGCACCCTGTGGGACCCCTTGTTAAAAGACCATTATGAATTTCAAGTAGGCAACAGCAGAGCGTGAACATCCAAGCCCAGAACCTTTTTAAGCTTGGGGTATCGTGAAACAGATTGGACACCCCTGAAGCCCACCCTGGACTAGTTTTATGGGGGTTGTACTCTCATAAATGAGGACTTAAGTGAAGTGGTAACAAAGATATCATTTCATTTTTATTAAATTATCACTTTAGTTCTAGAAAGTGGGCCTCATTTAACAGGCAAAATTGTAATTCACTGAATTCAAAATGAGTACTACCATGAGGAAACCAATGTTTATTAAAGCTAAAGAGAAATGGTGTGGTAAAACACACCTGCAAATTCGCCAAACTTTATTGATAAGCATTCTTGGTAGGACCGTTTTTTTTTTTTTTTTTTTTTTTTTTTTTTTTTTTTTTTTTTTTTTTTTTTTTTTTTTTTGAGACAAAGTTTCGCTCATTACCCAGGCTGGAGTACAATGGTGCAGTCTGGCTCAGTGCAACCTCCACCTCCCAGGTTCAAGCAATTCCCCTGCCTCAGCCTCCCAAGTAGCTGGGATTACAGGCATGTGCCACCGTGCCCAGCTAATTTTGTATTTTTAGTAGAGGTGGGGTTTCTCCATGTTGGTCAGGCTGGTCTCAAACTACCAACCTCGGGTGATCTGCCCGCCTCAGCCTCCCAAAGTGCTAGGATTACAGGCATGAGCCACTGCATCTGGCTGGTAAGACCATTTAAAAAAAAATCTATGCAGCAGCTTATATTTAATTTTGGAATATGCCTTTTATACTCAAGTTTGACTATGAATATATCTGACATGACAGGCAGTGATTTCAAATAAGCAAAATAAAGCACATATAAAGATTTTAAACAGTGTGAGGCAGAAAGCTGCCTAGATTTTCCCCAGTCCCTCCGTGCCGAGAGCAGAATGCCCTCCTTGCTGCACACTGTCATCCCTGCAAACACTCACGTGACCTACGATGCTCAGTGACTCAATCACTCATGAGAATTTATCTCTGTTAGCAGCCATCATCTTTTAGCAAAAAAGTAAAGGTGGGCCAGGCACCCACCTGGTGGCTCATGCCTGTAATTCCAGCACTTTGGGAGGCTGAGGCAGGTGGATCACCTGAGGTCAGGAGTTCGAGACCAGCCTGGCCAATATGGTGAAACCCTCTCTCTACTAAAAATAAAAATTAGCTGGGCCTAGTGGCAGACACCTGTCCCAGCTACTTGGGAGGCTGAGGCAGGAGGATCCCTTGAATCTGGGAGGGGGAGGTTGGAGTGAACTGAAATCACGCCACTGCGATAGAGTGAGACTTGGTCTCAAAAACAAAAAAAAAAAGAAAAAAGAAAAAAAGAAAAAAAATTAAATGTGAATTACTGGTAGAACTGCTTTGGATGAGATTTATTAAGCTCTAGGTTATGTTTTACTATGCATTTGTTAGAAATGGCATGAAATATGAAGCACATTTTAAAATCTAAGGACAACTTAAGTAGTAGGTATGATATTGGACTGTCACGTGGCAGGTAACACCCCAAGACACGGGATAAGATCACAGCTGTTGAAAGGAGCGGTCCTATTATAACACAGCACCCTGGACATCACCCTTATTCCCAAGGTTCTGAAATGTTAAGAATAATGTTGGAATTCCTCTTTCAAAACTGGTCTTAAAAGCCATGCTCAACAGCATGTCAAAAATTAGTCTGCTTGCTTCACTTTTTTTCTTTCTTTTTTTTTTTTGAGATGGGGTCTTGCTCTGTCCCCCAGGCTGGAGTACAGTGGTGCAATCACAGCCCACTGCGGTCTTACCCTCCTCCTGCCTCAGCCTCCTGAGTAGCTGGAACCACAGGTGCATGCCACCATGCCCAGCTAACTTTGTAGATGAGGTCTCACTATGTTGCTCAGGCGGGCCTTTTTAAATCTTTTCAAACAAGATGTTTTACTCTGTTTCATCCCAACTTGATTGTCACACAAGCAATAATGGACTCACGGTTTTGTCTAAAATTCAGTTACAATTTTCAGAGGGTAAAATTTCCCACAACTGAAGCTATGCAAAGACTTTAAAGATGATCCCCAACAATTTGGAGCAATAGGAGAATCTTTGAAATAAACACGTGATATACCCAATTCCTACCTTCTTCATTTGAACTGAATATAAGTTCTGATATGTTTGTTAGCTTTAAAAGCAGCAGTACAACGTTATTATCACCTTTTACTTAGAATTTCTTTCTTTTTTTTT